AAACACACACAAAAATTCTCTCTAGGTTAGAAGCCTATGAAAAGGAGTTTTTTCAGGCGAGTTATGAAAAATAATCATTTAAACTCAGTAAAAATTAGAATCCATCCCATTCAAATGTGCATATAAAATAGCAAAATTCATAGAATCCATTAAGATCAACAACCTCAGAGGTATTTACTCATATTTTTCAGCGGAAACTTTCATCATTTTAGAATCGGTTTGAAGTTTGTAAGTCGGAGGTTTATAAGGAGCACTTGAAAGCAACAGGGTTCCCCATGGCGCATGCGCGGCTGCAACCCCTAGGAGCTGAAAGAGATTGGCCAAATTAAAGGCTGATGTTATGTTTTTTTCATTCTCTTGCATCAGATGTTTAATTTAGCTGTCTGTTTTCATTTTGTATCACAATAATGAACTTCCTGTGTTGATGTTTTAATAAATGCTCTCTCTAAAGGCATTCAGGTGTTTGCCGTTACATATTGCTGTGGAGATTACATCTTAACTGGCTTTGTTCCAGTCACGACCTGACTCAGTCACTCAGCAGTTATTAAACATCTGAAACCTCCGTGTGAGGATTCCAGCATTTCAGGTTACACAGGTGCTCCAGGACGTCATTGATGTCTGACACTTACTTCTTGTATGTTCAGTTCACCCACACATCCCTTACATCACAAAAAAAGATTAGGAATGAGTACAGTGTACGGTTTGTGAAAAATAAACTACACAGTAGAACGCTTGTAGAAGATATAAATTGTCAAATGTCCGAAGATAATCCTTTTCTCTAAAGAAAGGATTGAAAAATTACTTAATCTCCAAAAAATAAAGTTCAGTGCAATATTCAGGGAGAGGAGATGATGATACAGAAAGACAACCAGTCTGTCAAATAGCCAGCAGAGACAAAAAGAGACAAAAGATGTAAAAAGAGTGCTGCAAAGGATCACATGGGCCAGGCCTTTCACCTAGGGAACAGCAGATGAGCTTTTCCCAGCCTAAAAATAACAGTGAAGCACTCCTGGGAGGAAAACCATTGGCCTGGATGACAGGAAATAGTAACTTTACAACATCTCCATTCATTATCAGCCACTCAATCATAAGATCTGCAATGCTTTTGTTTGTTCTGCAGAACATGGGCACAGTTCAAACGAAGCTCTAGCTGCAGGCAACGTGGGACTAATAAACATTCCCAAATATAGGAACTTAAAGCATAACATGTGTGCCATGAATTATGAAAGTCTACATCCATTTAGTGTGCAACATTAAATGAAACAGCCCTGACATTGTGTTCCTGACTTTATCATGAAAAATACATTAAGATGAGGTCAGCTTTTGAATAAAAGAAGAAAGCTAAGTCCTTAAAATGCCACGGGGGTGTATGTTGGATATCTTGATCTGATGAGACCACATGAGTCAGAAGTTTTCTGCTTCTCTTAAAGCGGAAAGAATAATTTTGGTTCTTTGGTGTAAGGTTGCCCCACTTTTATTGCTTCTCTGAGCATCTATTACAGTCAAAGTATACATGCAACTTGATCATGTGTAAAATTTTGTGGGAGTGCTCCTACAGGCTTATCTATCCATCCATCCATCCATCCATTTTCCATCTCGCCTGATGGAAAATTGAGGGGAGCTGGTGTCCATCTTCAGCTGTCAATGGGTGAGAGGCAGGGTCCACCCTGGACAGGTCGCCAGTCCATCACAGGGCAACCCAGAGACAAACAGGACAAACAACCATTCACACACACACTCACACCTAAGGAGAATTTAGAGAAGCCAGTGTTTTCGGACTGCGGGAGGAAGCCGGAGTACCCGGAGAGAACCCACGCATGCACAGTGAGAACATGCAAACTCCATGCAGAAAGACCCAGAGCCAAGAATCCAACCCAGAACCTTCTTACTGCTCCACTGAGGAGCCACAAAGATGCATCGATTAATCTTTTTTGGAGTTTATGATAAATATTTAAATTAAGCATAGGAGATCCCAACGCAAAACCCCATCATGCACCTCAATATTTTTGCAAAATGTTCAAACACAAATTTACCAAATATAAGAGGAACATCATAGTTTGGTTTAAAGAAAGCATTTTTGTTTTGTTAAAATTTAGTTTGTTAAAAGGATTTTACAGTTTGAAGAAATAGAAAATTACACCATATGCCAACCATCACAAGGATGTGCATGACAAGGAAGGGCTATATATACCGCATGCATCATTTAGATAGTTAACATTGCATTACTTCTTGAGCTCCTTGAGTTATTTACCGTCACAGGTAGACCATTCGGCAGTGTTGGGGCCGGTATGATTTAAGCAGTCAGAGCCTGGCGGTGTGTTTAATTTGTTTTACATCTTAGCCTCTTCTGTGTTTACTACTAGTATTTCCCTCCATCCATTACTTTTACTGACCTGCTTCCCTGTACCTGCTGGGTTAAAACAACCCCACAGCATGATGCTGCCACCTCTATGGTTCAGTATAAAAAATACTTCTTATACTGCAATTTGCTTCAAGCCCAAAAATTTCAGACCACCTTAATATAGAAGTTTGTTGTGCCACTTCTAGGCTTGTGGTACACTGTAAGATTTTAAAATCTTTTTAAAAAATGACATGATTTGTGAAGCTCGCATCAAACAGCTATCCTTCAAGCTGTGAATCAATGAAGCTCATTCAGGTCCCTTTGCTGCTTCTCTAACTAATGCTTTCTTTGTCAGGTTAGGTGGAAGAACATGTGTTGGTAGAGTTACAGTTTTCCTTTTTCAGATACTTTATTAAACAGTGCTCAGGGAGATGCTGACAGCTTCCCATTTATCACCTAAGCCTGTTTTAAACTCCTCCATATCTTTACTCCTGACTTGTCTGCTGTGTTCATTGGTATTCAATGTGCTTTTTGTTCACAAAACTCAACATCCAATTTGTGTAAGCCCAAAAAGGATTGAGACCCCTGCTAGATTTGGGTTTATCATAACAGTTTTTTTTTCGTACTAACCAACCTCTGACTGGAAGGTAGAATAATGTTACATAGTGGCCCAGACACTTGAACCCAATAGAAAACCTATGGTGTCAGCTAAAGATTAAAAAGAGGCCTTTCATATTCAAAGGTTTGGGGCTCATCACCAATAAACAGGAAAAATACAAAATAGTGAGCTTTCAATAACAGAAGGGTTTAAATCCCATAATACTAATAAAGGTTTGTCAATTAAAAATTATTAAGGGAAAAATAAGAGTTAACTCTTTAATTACAGGTAAACAATGAATTATTTATTTTACATTATACTTAATTTAGATTAATGTATTCAATTTGGAGGGGTGCCCTTCTTATTTTTCTTTTTATAGCTAATAAATATCTTGATTGAATTATATGAATAAAAAAAAATTATCGGCTTGAAATCAGTTCATAATTTTGGTAACCTCTGAAATAAGTTGGAGGTACTGGCCTTTATCCAGGGGTATCAAAGTAAAGGGGGCTGAATAGAAATGCATGGGACACTTTTCAGATTTTTAATCCCCTTAGACATAGTGTTATAAATTCCCCCCAGGTTGACAGATCTCACTGTTTCTAATCTATTATTTGTAATGCTACATGTTTATGTTGGTTTCAGGCTCCCTTTATATTGTAATGCAGGTTCTGAATATGTGTTTTGTTGATTCTACATGTCACAGTAATCAGGTGGATGCTGCTGCTAAACATAAATCAAATTGGTGATGCTGAGTATAACTGAATGAATCATTTCTCACAATGCTAATTATAAAGGTTTTCTGAAGAGTTTGCATTCTTTCCTTTCACTCTGTTAGAGCTTAGCTTTGTTCTATCACACAAAATCCTGGTCAGAAGAGTTCCAGGTTCTTGTCTTAAATTGGCAAAATGTGGAAAGGTTTTATTAGTTGAACCCTTTTTTTCTGGCATCACAGTCTCCTTCAAATAAACTTTATGTATTTTATTTTTCCTGAAAACCTTCTGGAAATCCAAAGAAGCAGTGCTGAGTATTTGATCTTCTCCCCTCCATCAGTGCAAAGCAGTAGCAGGAGGTCAGGAGCGCTTGGCTGCTGGATGTGTTAAATATGCATGCTCTCATCCACCTTCA